ATTGTTCGGGATGAACAATACTAAGGAGGGGCAGTGTTGCGTCATCGAGTCACATGACTACTGTGACGCAACGTTTCTAGAACTCTCATGTACTTTGGCGAATGTTCTAGTTCTTACTAGTTATAGGGTAGGCTGGTATATAAAAGAGGGGAATGTAATGTGTGTGTAGACAGTGAGTAACTGATCTGCAGTCAAAAGTATTATTGAGCACGTTCGTCGTTATAGCGTTTGTTTAGCGCGATTGTTGAAGTTGAGTGTATCGGTAAAGTTGTATTCGGAAAGAATAAACCAGTTTTTATTATAAAAGAACTTGTGTCGCTTAAGTTTCGTCGAAACAAGAAGTTACGGAAAATCAATTAACAAACGGAGACGTAACAATATTATAAGATTTCTTTGCACGTGAACGAGATGAAGCTGTATAAGAAGTCCAATAAACATCTTTTTTGTGTATATTGACGTAACAAATCCACTTGTGTTACGTTTAATGAGGTTGTCTAAAAAAGTAAATTTTCAACCTCGCAAGTGAATTTAATGGCAACATGTTGTGAGATCAGGTATTCTAAGAATTTCGAACAGTGATCCTTATTGTGAAATAGAACAAAAGTGTCGTCTACATAGCTTCTGTAAAGGGTAGGTCTGAAGTTAGCGTGGCAGGTGTGAAGCCATTTTTTGTTCGTGATAAGAGAGAAATATATTAGCTAACGCTGGACCTAGCTACGCCATCTATTTGTTCAAACAGAGTGTTGTTGAATAGGAAATGTGAATTCTTGATTTGTAAGGTCCAACATGGTTTTAATAGCGTTATAAGCTCTCAGTCATATCGATGCGCTGAGCACCTGGTAGCTTTTAACTACATAAGCGCTTTTGCAGCAACTTGTAACAGAGAGGAATATTAAAACTAAACGACAATTTTAATTTATTCATCTCAAGGACAATGTGGACATTCTTAGTATTTCCACCACTTTCTAAAGCTACAATTAAAGAAACTGAAGGACATCTTTATCTTAAGAAGATCAAAGGACAATCTTGATGCAGCTGGTATTTCCGCTATGAAAATCATTATCAACTTTCAACTGTAAAACTAAAATATATCTTTAACTTAACTAATATCTCTCAAGGAAAAAGTTAATGCTGCTAGTACTTTCTCCATGAGAAATCATTATAAATTTTTCTGGAAAACCAAAGAACATCACAAATTTCTAAGCTACAAGGACTACTTGCAACGCTCGCTTTCAAGTTTCTTGCCCAATGCAAAGTTGCAGCTTATGTTTCTTAAATACTTCATAATGTATCTGGTTGAGTGCCCAATATGAAACCAATTGCCAGTATTTAACAATGAAATGTCACTTGATGACTGAGAAATTAACAATTCTAATTCCCTTTCGAAAACTGGACTTTGCAACTATGTTAACTGCTGAACTCGTACAAGCATCTTAAAAGCTGATCAGTTTAAACGCATTCATATTGATTGTGGAGTTAATGTGTGTATAATAGCTAGTATCATGAATTGCTGAGCTGCCTTACAATCAACTGATTTTCCTCTGGCTCATTGTGAACCTCCGGAGAAGTATTTGTGACATTTTCTCCATCACACCTAGTCAGGTTAAATCACTGTGTTTTCTCTTCCAGATCATCAGTCGCCCTAATCTTTGCTTATTGGTACAACTTGTGTACAAGAGCTTTGGGTTCTAGATGGTTATGTGTTAAGATGACCACTGCAACTTATAGTTTCATAGGCTAAACTCTGTTTAAGCACAGCCAGTCTAGCCAGAAAACCAACTTTTGACAATTTTGCAGGCATGTAACAAAGTAAAACTTAGTCTTCATACCCAAACGTATGTTTCTTTGCAGACTTGTCATGGTTTCTCAAATGATAAGCAACTTCATCTGTATTAACCAATAACAAACTATAACCATTCCATATATTCCTGTTGACAATGTAACATAACCTCACTGAGAGGTGGACCATACATCAAATCCACTAGGAACTGTATTTCAATTGACTGTTTTTCTATTGTCATCATAACACATATCAATGATTTGTCACGGTTACTTCGGTAAAAATTCAAAAACTTAGCAAGCATATACTTGAGAATCGGAAACCATTTAACCAAACTATCAGATTAAAAATCATATATGGTGGATGTGCACCTCCACCACACTTAACACTCCGTACTTGTCAGCTAGCATTGTTTGTAGGTCCTGGTGACTGCAGAATAAAAAACAATTATACATCAAAACACTGACAGAAGAATTCGATGTCTTATAATTCAAAAACCACGCAGGCTTTCTTGGAGCATCGCCAGTTCTGAAATAAAGTGACTGCTCAAGGTCAGAGTAATACAACCATCTGAGAGTACTTAGTCTTCTCCAGCAATTATTGTGAAGAAGAAGAATGTTGTGCTATTTTACTACTATAAACAAAGTTATGAATAAGTATTATTATTACACAACATGTTAGCCTTTACGTCTTATAAATAAAAGCATTTTGTAATAATTTACAAACGTTATTTTAATCTGTACATTTTATCACTTAATATTTCTACATAAAAATACTTTTATATTTGTCTTTTGGAAAATTTTAAACAGTTTTCTGATAACAATCTTTACGTGCATGTTCAATGTTTAAACATGTTTCATTATTATCTATGTACATTTATTGTTTTATTTTCTAAACACTCGAAAACTTGTCACGTTTCCGAGGACCATGTCATTGTTATTATGGTTTGAAATGGCCTGGTGATTACGGCACTCGACTCGCAATCTTTGGTTCTCGGGTTCGAATCCCCTTCGCCAAACATGCTCGTCATTTCAGCCGTAGGAGCGTTCTAATGGTGCGGCCAATCCCATTATTCGTTGGTAAAAGAGTAGCCCAAAAGTATGGCGGCTGTGTTGCGGTATAATAAGTATAGAAGCAAATGAGTTTACATTCCACTTATGAGTTTATTTGGTAAACCCCTATAGCTCTGAATAACTCTTAGTTTAATATTGATAGATATAAATTTGATATAAAATAGTACGTTGTGAAATATTAGTACGTAAAATATTATTTTCTGAAAATCGGGATTCTATACCCGTGGTGGGCATAGCACAGATAGCCATTGTGTAGCCTTGTGCTTAACTACAATCAAACTTATTTTCTGTATCATTCAACATAATGTCATTAATCATAATGTATAGTTCTTATACCACATAAACGTTTTAATTCACAAAAGTTTACACACTAGAACACCATCAAAGCCATCATTTTGTTCTGGTAAAAAAATAATTGCTCGAGTGAGGAAATTACAAACAAGGTGACACACTCGCCAAATTAAAGCATGTTTACTGACCTGTACTAAAACAAAGTTCAGGGCTATAATCCTTCATCGGATTTCTGGTGAAGAGGGAAAAGTTTTTTCCAATTTTTTTTCCATTTCTTATTAATTTTTATCTATTTTATTTATTTTCTTAATCTTTATCATTAGCAAAAACAGGTTAAACCGATATAACATAAAGGAAATTTCATCATTCTTGTATTACAAATGTTTAAAAACAAAAACATGAATAAATATAAAATTAAGCCTTTATTGCCCAGATGGCGCTTTAAAATTATGTCACTAGATGGTGCTGAAACCCGGATTTATTATGGCGGGTGAGCCTGCGGGATATGTGTCCGCAATCAAAAGTTGGATATCTTGGTCGTGGACTTATTTGTGGATATTGTGGTTTACATTGGTAATTTTTCTGATATACGTACTACGGGGACCGTTGAGAATAAGTGAAAATATTACAATGGGTAAGATATTGCGAAGAAATATCTTTCAAATGGTTATTTTCAGTTGACACTTTCACTGAGTAGTGAATTTGACTTAGTTTGACAGTGATGTTCCAATTCCCAAAGGAATGCGTAAACGATTGTGAATGGGATTCACTGATACTGAGTGATTGTGATAGCTGTTTTGGAAATTAGAGATGAAATTTAAGTGTTGAGATCGAAAAAGTGGGTTTAAAATAAATAAGTTATTTGTTTTTATAAGCAAATCAAATGGATAATATTAATAAATTTAAATCCTATTATATTAATCATTAGTATTACTGTTCGTGTAACATTACAGATAAGCCGTCTCCGATAACGAATACTGAAAAGTGACATTTTAAGTTTAACTTAAAATCAGTGCCAGGCTTACGACAGGCTTTTTCGCTCACGATGACAGCGAACCTAGTGGTAGATTATTGAAAAAGTGAAGGACACTTTGTGAATACGTGATTTTTAGTAGAGTGGTTTGAAATTGAAGTGAAATTTCGATTTTAATTCAGCCACGTTCTGTCCTATGTTAAACTATGTTTTATTCGTTTGAATAGTGACTCAAAGATAATATGTTTTTTTCTTCTTTCATATTCTGGCTGTAGGTGAAAGAAATGTGTAGCTTTGCCAAATATGTTTGTGCAAAGTTAAACTAACAAATCATCAGCTAAGACAGTTATTTTTCTAACAGAGTAGTTGACATTTTGGATGGGTTGCCTTCAGATGTGGTGGATACAGTAAATGTAATGAAAGGCTTGATAAATATTTAAATGATATGGGCTGGCTTTGAGTTGTTTTTTTTTTTTGCTATTTGTTCTAAGGTTTAGTGGATTGGATAGTTTTGATAGACCAACAGACCCATTTTTGTCTTTAAATGTTATATTATTAGTATCTTTGGCACACTCTTCCATATACCAGTGTGTTCATACAAGCTTTGTTCTAACAAAAACTATATTTAACTGTCAAGTTGAATCATTACCTGTAATAATGCAACATTTAGACAAAGGAAGGCAATTATAAGTTTACAAGTCATTTTACGAAACATCAAACTGAAGTAGACATTGGGTGTCAACTTAATAAACTGCAAAACAGGTGGAAGTTTTAATTTCAGCATCACCAATTCTGTTTTCAAATTTGACAGCAATGTTTTACAGTTATACAAGAGCTAGTGTGCAGATGTTTAGATTATTACCTCAAATGTTAACAGCTACAACCTTATAAGAAATATGCTCATACTTAGGAAGTTTTATTTTCAGAAGAAATATTATATGATAATAATGTATTTGTTACTAACTGTTAACATATAGACACCAAGGAAAAATTTTGCCCCTAGAGGCTGCCCCTGCACCAATCCTGGTGGCAACATGTGTGCGATGGGGGAGGGGTCACCCACTTATTTTTTTTTTTTTGTAGATGGGGGGTATTAGATTATGGAAAATCTAACCAAAATCAATTAACTTGTATTTAGTGTGGGTGTTTTGTTTTATTCACTTCATGAGTCTTTGCGATCACCAAACTGTTATTAAACTCATTTATGAGTTACCAGATTCACCAGGAAAAAAGCCAAAGAAATTCATCAGAAACAATGTGCACAACATGGCTGACCCCATGGAATTGCTTAGCATAAACTGTGGGGAAACAAAATGTTATAGTGGATTCAAAGATGACAAATTGTTAGAAAACACAGTTTAAGTTAATGTTATTATTAATCAAGCTTTTAATTTCAAAGCACTTCACTTTGCACAATAAGATGTTAGATAAAATACATCAAAACTATTTGTGTGTATCCACAGATATATATATGTGTGTGTGTGTGTGTAAAAGAGAAAAATAAAGCATAAGTCATTATAAAGTGAAAATATTAAAAAAACCTGCTTCATTTCAAAATTAGATTCTACTTCTGGTCTTTCTAAAAGCAAGTCTATTACAGCCCTAACTGCAACCACAATGCAAACATTTTTATTCATCACCATGCTGTTTACCAAACTGTTGTTTTAATAATGTCAAAGGTGGATATACTTCTGGGTTACTGATAAATTTGCCGCAGTGAATAAAACAACACGCTGATGTTACACCTTACTACATTAATCAGTAAATCATATGACAGCACATTGTTATGAAAATTTCACATGAATGTAATTTCATGGATTTTTTTTTTTTAGTATTATTATTATTAAGGCATTAGAAAACTTTATGCCTGAACTATTTATTATTATTAATATTCTTAGCTTTAATTGTATTTTATTTTAGTTATTTGATTTGTATGTATCATTGATTTGGAATCTGAAACTGGGAGAGGGTACAGGATCTAAATTTGATCGACAAGGCCCTTATGCTTAGCATACTCACTCCCCCAACAAATAGAAAAATAAATGTTCAACTCACTATTTATTTATTTATTTACACAATTATCAGTTCCTCCTTTGATTTTGGACCATTGCATAATTAGGTTTAATGTGTTTTTTTTTTTAGTTCCTAATTTTAAGAAATTTAACTTTGGGACAATGAGTTAAAAGTTGATATGGGATAGATTTGGGAAATTTAAAACAAAACTGCTTTTAAACTATCACAACATGTTCCTATAACTAGGGAAAAATAACAGAGGAGATCAAACCTAATTGACTTAGTAAAGATATAAAGGAGATAATCACGGATAAATGCCTTCAGTTTCAGTTGACAGAGAGATTGGAAGGTTCACAGAACTATGGTAAGGATCAGAATTTGGTTAAAAAAAAGAAATTAGCAAACCCAAAACGAAAGGATATTGTTACAGAATAAGTTATATTCCTTTTAACTTTTCTCTTGAGAAAAGAAGTGTAAGAGGTGATCTTATTGAAGTTTATAAGATTGTAGTGTGGATCAATAGGATGTAATCTTGATTTACTTGAGGATGAGAGAATACAAGTTATATTTTTTCCCAGTAAATATAAACATATATAAATCTCAACTGCACACCTTCTGTACTTCACATATATCAACTAGGTCATTAAATGCCTGCATAAGGTGTTACATATGTGATAATAAAGTTCACTGTTGATATTTCATTGACATATATCTTATGTATATCATCTGTACAGTTGAGAACATGTAAAATATAGATCTAAATAACAGTTCTTTTAACTCTAAAAGACAGTTATATTGATTTCAGATTTTCAGTGCTTAATGAGATATATAACACAAAAATAGCCAGTTTCTTTTTGTTTTAATCTGCTAATGTATCATTGAAGATAGTTTTATTCTATTTATTCCTTAGGTCACTTTTGAACTTTAGACTGTGAAAAAAAAATCTGAGTAGGTAATTGTTGGTGGGCATTATAAATAGACTAGCTGCAGTGACTGGAGTTTTCTGTTCATCTTTTGTTTTAGGGGTGGCAGGAGAGATTGGCACCTTTGTAGAAATCATACTTTTGATTTTGTGGCAGATATCAGGCTCTTCTATATATGGTAGACTAATGACCAAAATAAGTTAATTTCATTTCTTAGATGAAGAAGCCAAAACCATATATAGTATTCCATGACAGAGGTGTATTAGTGATTCTTATAGAGAAATGATTACCTCTTTTGACTTTAAATCAGTATGTCTATAAATACAACTAAATATTTTTTTAGAAATGTATAATTGTAAGCTATATGACTTGATGAAAAGGGCTCACTCAAAACATAATCCTACTTTAAATAAAAATATAAAATACCTTGGTGAATGTTCAACCTATTATTTAATTCTAAATATTTTTTTAGGTTTACAACTAGCAACAGATCACAGCCTTGGTTTTCAGACAGACTTATTGACTGCTGTGTCAAGATCTTTTTCCTCAGTCATGCTGGTGGGTTCTCACCTACTTGAAATGTGTGATCCCAATTATAATAACCCAAATGTATTTCTTCACACTTAGAGTACTTCAGTTAATCCAAAACATTTCGTAGTACTTCAACATTCACAATATAGCTAGTAATAGTCAAAAGTTTCATGTCGTCATCAAACTTTACTAATTAAATGACTATGTCTTTATCAGTGTCATTGATGTAAATAGAAAACATCCAAACACTGACCCCTGAGCACACCATGAGTAATAAGGGTACAGTTTGACTTGATTCCAGTAATGATAACCTTTTGCTTTCTTTCATCCAACCACCTTACAATCTACTTATCTAGTCTTTCCCAAACCCTTGCCAATGTGATTTTCTTAGTTAATTTGCTTTGTAGCATTTAATCAAAATGTTTTTGAAAATCTTAGTACACCAAGTCCATACTCTTTCCATCATATAGATAAAAAGTAACATCCAAAAAAAAAAAAGACACATTAGTTTGGTGAGATTTAACATTGTTGAATCTCTGATGGTTGTCTTTTATAATTTCACCAAAATTCTCACTTTTTCTACTTACCATCAAAGGATTATAATACATTGTGGGTGATTCTAGTCAATTCTGGTATTTTCCATTGAATGCTTATAGTGTCAGGAATATTGTTAATTTAGTGCTATATCTTCTCGTATGAAAACAGAAGATAACCTTTATAAGCTTACCATCTCATAGTCTTCAACAAGAACCTTGCCACTGGCATCCTTTAAGGGCCCAGACCCCATTTTAACAATTTTTTTTACCTTGAACATACTTAAAAGATTCTTGGTGTTAGTTTTAACATTATCAGCCAGCTATTTCTCGTAAACTCAGTTTGATTTCCTAAGTTTCTTTTGAAGCAAATGCCTAGGTTTCCTATGGTTTCTTGATATTTCTTCCTATTTGTCAATTTAAACAACTCTTAAATTTATAGCTATTATCCTATATGTCTTTATAAGCTAATAAGATTTTATCTTCTGTTACTTTTCTCATTTTTTTAGTAAATGCTTATGTTGAATTAAAAACATTTTCCAAATATGTCTAATATCACCTTTTAACTTTTTCCCAATTCATTAATGAACTAGTCTTTCCCCAAACCCCAACTAATAGGTTTTCTTAGCTAATTTTTTTTGTGGTATCTTATTAAAACCTTTTTGAAAATTAGATACTTCTTTCCAGTCCCCAAATGTTCCATCATCCAGATAACAAACATTATAAAAAAAAAGAGTTAATGGACTAGTAAGTCAAGATATCCCTTTATTTGGCTTTCTTTTGTGATATTATTTTTCAATAAAAAAAGATTTTGCTTTTGTTTTTTTTTATCAAACACAATAATTTTTCCCTGTAGTGGTGTGATGCAAATTATAATTCTGAAATACACTTTTAGGTTAGGTCAAACATACACAACCTGGAGGTTGTCAAATGTTACATTTTACACAACTGATATTTTGTGTTATATAGTATCATGACAAAAACATACTGTAAGCTGGTATTAAAGAAGTACTTTTTCTGAAATTGATAACTGTTTCAGTTTAATAAATACAAGTAATTTACTTCAACCAGCAATTTACACATTAACAAGTCTTTACAAAATAAATTGAAATCTTAATTTTTTTCATTGTGTTGTTTACTTTTGTCAATTTAATTACTAAAAATATTATTCACATGTGGTACCTTGTCTTCTAATAATACACTTCTGTATTACAATCTACATTGTTAAACTAAAGATGTGGATGTTTGATATTATAAGTAATGATCTGCTTAATCCAGTATAATGTTTTAATAATCCCACTCATATTTTAGTATCCAGATACATGGCTAACTATGAATCTTTTATGTTTTAAACAGTTCAAGATTTCCTGTGAAATAAAATTGATGTTGTTGTATTGAAAGGCAAGTTCAAAACTATTGGGTGTTATGTAGTATGGATGCTTAAAAAGATGTTATAATGTCATGTATTTATTTAATTTTATATTGAATTTACAAGGTTATTTCATTTGTGAGTCAAATTGTTTATTACTTGTGATGCCATCAGAGTATTGATCCACTGGTTAAAGAAATGAAAAACTAACTTGAACTAATTTTTTCCTAGCTTGTTTTACATAAAGAAAACAGTAATAGTAAATAGAGAATCAAAGGAGTTGTATTTGCTAATAAAGAAAATGCAGAATATACATGTCTATTCTATATTACAGTGTATATGTAGTTGACAGAAGGAAATTTTAAAAATTTTTGTGCAACTGGTAAAACTTGTTTTGTGATAATTATGTGCATGTAACTACAAACTACTGTACATTCAAGGGTTTGCATCTAATCTAGATTTAATAATACTATTACTTCTGGACACTGATGCCTTCATGCAGATGCTATGTCTGGTTATTTATTTGAATATTGTAGGCTAAATTTTTATATCAATTGTGTATGTATATAAATATATAGCTCAGTTTTCATGTTGACTGGAAAAAGCTGATCTTCAAAGACTAATAGTCCCAGTTTGTATCATGGTTGAGGGGATTCATTAACTTTACTTGCTTTTTTCTGAATTGCATCTGAGTCATTCAACAAAGATGTATTGTGACTAAGACTGCCCTGAAATTTCTCAAACATGTGTAATATACTTTGCATAAATACTGATACAGATTTTTTTTTCATGATTTAGCTTCCATGTTCTTGAACACACTGACACCAAAGTTCTATGTGGCTCTGACTGGAACATCCTCATTGATTTCAGGTCTGATTTTGGTAAGCTCAAATTATTTGCTGTGTATACTGATGTGCACATATGTGTAATACCCACAATATTCAGGTTTTTTTTTTTAGTTGCTTCATTTCTTTGAAAATGCACTGTGGACTTTGAAACATTTGAAATCTGACCAATTATTACATTTGTGAATGTAATTCTTTAAAGAGTGAAAAAAACAATTATCAAACTAACCAATAATATATTTTATGAAGGTATTTCTTTTAAGTTGACTATAAGTAAAGAACATATTTCAAATAATACATATATTGGTTGTCAGCTGTTTCCTGTCTATTCATAATTAAATTATTTAATGTGCTTGTGCTTAATCAAGACTAGTGAAAGGTACCTTGCAGCTTTTTCAAGTGTCCAGTGTCTATGATTTCCATCAGATGTGTTTTAGGAAGTACATGTAATAGTACTGACTTATTATCATATTAAACCTTGCATTAATTGGTTATTCATTATAAGACAGTTTCTTTGTGAATGAACCTGTGTAACTCACTTTGTTAATTACTGTTTCTTTCTTTATTTTTCTAAAGGTTTTCTAAACTCACTTGGCAATACCAGAACTTTTAAAAAAGATAAATTCAGAAACATATAAATGGAACTTTGAAATACAGTGAATGTTAATCTAAGTTGTTTACCCCCATGTATTATCCAGTACATTTGATATGAAAAATAGATATTTTAATTAATGTATATATTCATCAAAATGCTTTTGTTGTTGTTATTAGTATTTTACATTTAATTATAATTAGAATATTTATTCATTGTACTGAATTGCTAAACATTTGAAGTTACATTAAACTTAGTCACATGCTTTCGTAATGTCTATCTTACAGGTACAAAAATGTGCATGAGATAAACACATTTGTTGCTTTAGTTGAACTATTTGTTAACATAACATATGGACAAAAATTGACTATTTGCTCCTTCAAGGCTATCTCTACACCCACCATTGAGAAAAGTAAAAAGTTAAACTTACCTTTTCTTTTGCAGGAGGTTAATGGTTTTTGTTCTACCTCTTATAAACAGAATGTATTAATTTGACACACCTGGTTTGTTTTATTTTATTGCTAATAAAAACTACTAAATGAAATAGTTTGAGACTTCAGGTTTATTTTTACAGGATATGTAGATTCTACGAATAAAATATTTTTTATACGAGATATTTTAGTATTTGTAGCTTTGAAATTTCAAAAATATTTTATTGTGATATGTTTTTTAAGATACAGTTAGAAATGTTTGCCTTTCTTCCAGATTTTGATTACTGATTTGTGTATCATCCTACATTTTGGGGTAAATTTTAATAAAGTTTTTATTTTATAAAACTGTAAAATTTACCCTTGGTTTGCTTTGAAAAACAACACATGCAATTTATCTGTGCTTACAATCACCGGTGTACAACATTATGAGCAACTTGGTTTTTTTTAACTTGTTAATTAGATATAAAGGTAACCAGTAAAATTTGCAAGGTTTATTTGAATATGCAGCTTCTTTGAAACTTTAAATGTACATGAATGTTTTAATGACATCATATGATCATTAAATAGATACTGGTACAATATTACAAGTCATATCACATAGAGGTATGAACACGTGCTTCACGTTTGCCTCCCATTGGCTCAGCAGTAAATCTGAAGGTTTATAATGCTAAAAACTGGATTTCAACACCCATGGTGGGCAAAGCATAGATAGCTCATTGTGTAGCTTTGTACTTAACAACAAATATACAAATTAACAGTTGTAGAAAGAACATAAGATAGTAGGTTTAAGTATACTTGCACACTAAATATAAGAAAAGTATTCCCAAGTTAAATCAACAAAAACAATATGTTGGCTAGCCAACCAGTGATAAATTTTTGCTTCAAAATTTTGTATCAAATTATGAAATGATTCTTGTACTACAGTTTTAAGAAAAAACTTTGAAAGTTATTTGCTTGATTTCTATATTCATTGTGGTATTTTTTTAAAACATTAATGCTTATCTCAAATGATCTTTCCCCAAAACTACTCATTAAGACATGTATGTTAATGCCTATTCAGGAACAGTATTAACACATGGTGTCATAAACACATCTTTCATAATACTTTTTCTAGAAATTTGAATTGAATAATCTTATAGTAGCTAAACAGCTGAATCAGAAATTAACATTGAATGCATAAAATACAGTACCAGTATGTTGAGTACGTGGCTATTCATCTCATTTTCTATTTACAAATTTTGTAAAAGATAACCAAATTCAATTAATTCATAGTCACTACTGTTACACATTACTGTACATTATTATTATGTTTATCTTTAATTGGGTGGTACAGGATGTAAACTGGATGGGTAAGGTCCTCCTCCCCCATGGTTCTGACCCTTTATCAAAATAACACTCAAACTCTCTTCCATAGTCCTTTTATTAACTTTCTCTATGGTACTTCTCAACTAATACTTGAAGTTGCTGTGACATTGAGCTTTTTATCATTCTTAGAGTATGCTCTTGTAAAACCATACCAATTTAGTTTTAACCAATTACAAGTTGGATTCCCATAACTTGGTTATAGGGTGTGATCACATAAGTGACTCGAAAATCAACACAAATTGCTGGCTGAATGAGCATAATTTAAAGAAATGTTTTGTGACATATGTGTAACGTATTGTAATGTAACCTTGTGGAAATTGTAAATAAAACATTCATTAATTGTTTCACTTAATGTGTACATGTATAGATACAGACGAGTCTTGTATGTACTTTTGCATTTTGCAGATTTTTGAATGGTGGTATTTCCGGAAGTATGGGACTTCCTTCATTGAGCAAGTTTCACTAAACCACATCTCACCATGGCTTGGAGGAGGTGAGCCAAATGAAGAAAATGGGATCTCTAATGGTGGAGGAGGTGGTGGGGGGAGTGGAAGTCAACAAACTGCTCCAGGTAAGGAACCAAGAAAAATATTGCTCTGTCATATTTTATTACTTTACTGTTTTAGTTGACTAATCAATGCTTTGTTAACTTATGTGAGAAAAGCAAGTCTTGGTCATTTCATTAATTCAGTGTTTCTAACAAAATTCATTTATATATACTTACCAAGACATTTTTTTGTTATGTATGTTAACTTTTTGCTTCTATTGAATATCATGAAACAGTAATGTGGAGAGCTGGGTGATTAGTTAAATTTGCTAATTGATTGATTGTCATGCTCAATTAGATGATTACTCTTGTAATATTAATTGATGAAATGTAATCAAGGTAATTTCTCAACTCTAACCATATGCTATATTAATTTATTTGTGATGTTTAGTTACACTCTATGAGAATATAATGGGTTTTCATTGGTCAGTAGATGTCACACTTTTCAAAGAGAATGGAATCAGTGATAGTACTTGAAGCAAATACTAGTTTTGATTTGTTTTTCATATTAGTTTCATTAACAGTATTGGTCAAAGGGTTTAATAAATTTAGTTTTATAATTTTTATTTTTAATTATATTTTTATTTAATTTAATTGGATTAATTTACAATTTTAAATGTTGTAAGTTAGCCAAACTTTATATTGTTTGGATTACAGTCCAAAATATTGCTAACAGTGAGGAAACTCAACTGATGAATCACTGCTTTCTAATCATTATAAATAGGAGTGTCATATTCAATTAGCTGTTTTAAAATACTGGCTTAGGTTTATGATATGATTTATTTAGGTAGCTGTTTTTTTTTTGTCAAAAGTGAATGATAATTTCAACAAATTCTTTTTTTTTCACAGTTTTGTTATAATGAAAGATTATCATTTTTATAACATAATTCCTTGTTTTAAAATACTTAATTGGTCCTCCCCTAAGACTTGCTTCTTAAAATATGTAAGAAAAATTGTAAATCTCCTTAATCTAGTTGTGGATCACCTGAGTGGCTCACATACCATGATGCAAATTACTAGTTCAGTGATCATTATTTAAATAAATTTGTCATGAAATTGTATATAAAGTATTGTAAAATTTATGATGTGGCACAAGGTCTAAATAGCACATGCAGCACTTCAAGTTAATTAGTATTTTCTAAATCACCAATAAATGGAAAATGCAAACAAAGCTCTAAGACGTTCAGTTTTTAATTGATAATTTTCCAAGTAAAAGTAAAATTACTTTGTATAATTGAAACGCTTTGTTTAACATTGAGCTGAGTAAATGTTACATGAACTTAATAGTGTTGAAACTTGTGAACTATAAATCATATGACCATTTATAGCTTAGATAAATGTAACTGAACAATATATTAAATATATATAGGCCATCACATGGTCGTATAGTGTGAATGAAGGAAAGTTCCACCTTTGGAGAATGTTATATTCCCAATAAAAAATTTCATTTGTATATAAGTCAGTCAAACACAGCAAGGAAACTAAATATGTACAATAAAAACTATGATGTAAATAACACACAATACAATATAATGAATCAGATTTATTTAAACAGTGTTTTATGTACCATAAAAGCAGGACCCCCAAGTTTAATGCTATTGCACAGGTACAACATTTTGTGCATAATTTTTTTATGATTGCGTAATCAGTGGTTGTCTGCAGTATATTAAAGTCTGAATTTTTAGGCCTATTAAAGTCAAGATTAGGTCAGTGTTACCAGATTTATAACTTTTGACTTAGTTGTGACTGTTTTTTGTAGCTTTGAAAGTGGTGCTTGTGGCAGCCAGTCTTATTAATGGCTTGTATAAAGATTTCTGAGGTCTAAAAATAGTTTTTGTTGTTCTCATTTCACAAAAACTAAATTTTAAACTGATGTTGATGGTGGAATTTCATTAACATCCTTTTAAATGCTGTTGTTTTAAGCTATTTTTACTTTACACAAGGATAGCATGACTTAAAGTTTTTGCTACATAATCAAGGCATCATTCATTATCATTTTTGCTACATAATTAGAATTTTTTTGGCACATAATTTCAAGTTGTTGGACACATAACATTTCTTCATTTCGGTGCATAAAATATCTGAGCTCTGTCAAGTGTACAGTACATGTAAAAAGTAAACTGCATTATAGCTAGTTGCATTTAAGTTATTTCTTATTTCATCATCATAATCTTCACTGCTTTAAAACAAATTTAGTTTTTGGTCATTTTCTACATCATTTAACTTTATTGACCTTTGTTTTGAAAGCCTAAAATAACACAGGCCAGTGACGGTTTTATTGTTGAAATTTTTGCATGTTCTACAGTAATTCCGGTAAGTTGAATCTGAAAATGATATCCATTTTCTCCATCACATACAGATTTTTCACAAAACATCATATGTACTTTTATATGAGTGAATCATTTTCATTGAAATCGGGTCACATTTTGTTATGCTTGAAATGTTGAAAACCACTGGCTATAGATTTCACTAGACCAATCATGACATGAGAGTCTTATCAATTGTTCTAGAACCCACGAGAAACACACTGCTAGTATATAAACGGTTAGCAGGCCACATGACTTGTCATTTCTGGATAGTATTTGTTTGTGAGTGCACTTTTACATAATTTTTTTTCTTTTCAGTATTATTTATTCATCGCTATGACAACAAAAGGTTGTGTAAATGACCCAAACATATTCCTATATATTTGTTGTAAGGAAACAAAGGCAAAACATTACAAAATTAATC